CCGTATACCAACTGTACAACCCTAGGCAAGTCCCTTAATCCTTCATAGCTTCCGTTTGCTCCTAGTACCTACTTCTTAAGATCATTGTAAGAATGTATCGAAAGAATACTTGCAGAGCAGTTAACACAGTGCCTGGCAATATATTTTAGCTATTTTCACTATTATACCATCAAGGTGGAGTTGTAGAATTCGACCTACAAAGGACTGGAAGCTCCAGTCTTTAGTGTTCGCTCACAGACCCATCCCCCACCCCCAATAAGGAAAGAGCCATCATCCTACAATGCCTGTCCCTGAGACACTTGGGAGTCTCTACCATCACCCATGCCCACTCCCCATACTCTCAGAGTGGCCACTGGATGAAGATGTCTTCATTCAGAGCAAACAGGAAAATGTCTACCCTGGCAAGTCCCCAGACCCTGATGGCTCACATAATGGCCACAGTTTGCCATTCCTCTTATAAGTAGAAAGTGGGGGAGATGGCAGGGCAGAAGGCAGAAGTTTAAAACTCCTTTATCTTAGAAGCCATGCCCAAGTCCATGCACACACTCAACACCTACCGTGGAAATCTCACCTTGTCAGCTGGTAAACCAAGAAGCACACGTGCCTCCCCCAACCTTCATGCAGAAAAGTGATGTTGTGCTGGTCACCTGTATGCCTCTCTGAATTCTCAAAGGCAGAGGTAGGTTATGCCTATGCATCGTTAGAGACCCAACACCTTCCAAACAGTACACACTCAATAAATGGTTGTTCAATTTAATGGCATTGAGAGAATCCTATTCTCTCCATAGGTACAGAGAGCGACAAGCCCTACCTAGGAGAACAACTCCCTAAGAATCCCATTCCCTGCGGCGGATGCACATCCAGCCTGGTGACCAATCCTCTCTGCTCCTCACAGGGGTTTCAGTCTTTAGCTATTGGTTATCTGTTCACACCTGCCCCTCTAACTGGACTTACAAACTTCTGAAGAGTAGAGACGCTCTGTCTTCTGGAGCAGACGGAGTTGAGGCATCAGTATGAAGTGCTGGCTACTCTCCAGTTGCCCCTCGAGAGCCTCCCTCCACCTTTTTCTGCTCTGCTCTGTGTCCAGGGAGGCCAAACTCTGTGAAATGCATCAACAAGGTTTCCTTGGTGTCTGGCTTCCAGATGGTTTCAGCCAATGGGAGGTGCTAAGAGGAGATCAGAAGGTGGGTGGAGAGGCAGGTCAGGGTATTTATTTCCCCAACTCCCTCCCTGATGGGCCATGGCTTGTTTGAGCTGCATTCCTCTACCCAAGGGCATAGCTCCTGTCAGGTAGCCCTCTCCTTTGCTTTAGCTCTCCCGTCCCTAAACCTTACAGGCACGGGTTTAACAATGGCTTTCTGCTATTACAAAGCCTGGCATCCTCCATCATCCCTTGTTAGTGTCCCTTAACTCTGCCCACTCCCTTGTAAATAGTGCCCACACTGAATTCTCCTCAATTGCAACCCAAGTGACATGTGCTTCCTGCCAGAATCTTAACAGATAGACCTGGAAATCTGAAAAGCTGAGTTCTAGTGCTGGAACTGTAGCAGCCATGTGCCTTTCGCGAGGCCACTCCCTTCTAGGTCAGTCTTTTCCTGTGCAAAATGGATGCCATAACTGTCTCTAAGACCCCTTTAGGTAAAAAAATCGTTTTTGCATCTTCTCCCAGGGTCCCTAGGACACTACTGTACCCATCAATGATGCTGGAAGCTACTTGATCAAACGCTGCTATGGTGGGGAGAGGAGAGAGTGTCTCGGAGTGCAGGGGTATCAAACGCTGCTATGCTGGGGAGAGGAGAGAGTGTCTGGGAGTGCAGGGGTATCAAGTGCAGGGTATACTGTGTTGTCCATTGGCAGAAACAATCAGTGGCAGAGAAAACTGTTTTCCAGAAACCTGTGTTAGTGCTTTAAGGGGCTGAAATGGCAGAGAAGTTGGGCTGTAGATAGGTGTATAGAAACAAGAAAGCAATGGCTTAGAGCATGGGATGAGATGGAACAGTACCGAGTTCAGGTCTCAACTGCCATTTCTTACTTTGTGACCACTGAAAGCCCTTTCACCCATCTATATTCCCCTCCCTTACATGTAAAATGGGAGTGGTATGAACACCTCCCTGAAGAGGCTGATATGAGAGTGAGAAATAGATGCATAGCATTTACCACAATGCTTAGCATACAGTGGGAATAAAGACTACCTATCACAATTTTTTTTTTTTAAAAGGCCTTTGTCGCCAGGCACAATGGCTCATGTCTGAAATCCCACTGTTTCGTTGGGGAGGTCAAGATGAGAGGATCACTTGAGGCCAGGAGTTTGAGGTCAGCTAGGCAATATAGTGAGAGCCCCATCTCTACAAAAAGTGAAAAATTTAGCTAGGCATAGTGGTACACACCTGTAGTTCCAGCTACTCAGGAGGCTAAGGTGGGGGGATCACTTGAGCCTGAAAAGAATGTTACAGTGAGCCACAACTGCACCACTGCACTTCAGCCTGGGTGGCAGAATAAGTTACTGTCTCAAAAACAAAACAAAAAAAAAAGGAGGGGCGAGTCTTGTGACTGACCAATCAGATGAACTGAAAGGCAAGATGCCATTGTGTGAGAACCAGGAAAGCCAGAGAAACTACTCAATCCTATGTCCCAATATAAGAGATAGAAGATGAAAATTCAAACTTTACTAGGTGTTATGTTAGAGGAAACAAGGGTAATGCTCAAAACCATCCTACTCTCTTTCTAGGGAAATGTTCCAACTTCAGAGCAATGAATGAGTCCAAACAAAGCATGGCAGTACCAATGGGCTGAGGAGGCAGAAAACAGACTTCAAGGCAGCTGGAGCAGCTGAGTGCTGCAGGACGGGGAAAAGCGAAGGACAGAACTCTAGAACCCTGGAAGCTGAAGACTGAGGAGTGGGCTGTATATGTACAGGGTGTAACTATCTAGATCTGACCAGAGAATGCTTACTACAAGTTTGAAAGCATGATACACAGGCTGAAGAGTGATGGTAGACATTAGCACTCTGACCCACACCTCATTAACATGCTGAGTACCCAAATAAGATATCAGAGTTCAAGGAATTCAAAGAAAATATTATCCTAATTCATGAGCAGATGGCTATCTCAACAGGAAGAAACATGAGAGCTGTACAATTGCTGAGGCAAACATTTTACTGGATGGGTTTAACATCAAATAGGAGATAGCAGAGGAAAGAGTCAATAAACTAAAAAAAAAAAAAAAAAAAGTCATTCAAAGTATTAATCTGAAGAACAGAAAGATTAAAGAAAGATAACCAGTGCCTCAATAACTAATAGGAAACTATCAAGTGACTTTGTATGTCTAAAATTTGAGTTCTAGAAGAAAAAGGAATGGGAATTTCTCCAGGAAAGTTTTTGGAGATATTAACAGAAAAAAAAAAATCCAAATTTAGTGAAAAATATTGGCTTACAGAACCAAGAAGCTCAGTGTTTCACCCTGTTTTTATTCAAGTAGGATAAGGAAATTACAAATAAAACCACAAAACAGCAAAACCTGACACATGATAGTTGAATTGCTGAAAGCCTCCCTTGCCTCACTCTGCCCCAACCCCTCTTCCTCCTAACCAGTCTGATTGGGACATTGCTATGACCTCAGAATTGCCCTGGGCCAAGCAGCAGAGTTGAAAGAGAGGTACCCTTAAGCTTGGTCACCAGGGAGACAGGTACCAGGAGGATCCAGAGCCGTGGGAGCAGTGGGTTTGGGTGAAAGCATGTGATATGTGACTGCATAACCAGGTCTGAGCCCAGGTATACACTGCTGACCATTTCTGCAGAGCAGAGCCCCGGTGAGAGTTACAGAATGAGGAACATTCTCTGTTTCTTCAGAGAAATAAGGGTTGTCCCTTGGGAAAACATCAGCCAGCCTTCCCCTCTGTATTCATCCATCTCCACTGACCCCTAGAGCCAAGTCTGCTTCAAGCTGTGAATTCTGACTGCAGAAAAGAAAAGGTGTATTAGGATTCTTCAGAGAAAAAGAACATACAGGAGAGGGGGAAAGAGAGAGAGATGGATAGATAGATAGATATTAATAGAGAAGGGTGGGAAAGATTTATCTTAAATAATTGGCTTACATGAATGTGATAGGCTGGCAGGTCGGAGATCCAGAGAAGAGTTGCAGTTCAAGTCCAAGTGCAGTTTTCCGGCAGAAATGCTCTTCTTCAGTCTTTTTCTATTAAGGGGAAAGTCAGTTTTGTTTGTTTGTTTGTTTTTTCTATTAAGGCCTTCAACTGATTGAGGGAGACTCACCTGCATTATGGACAGTAATCTGCTTTACTCAGTTCACTGATTTAAATGTTAATCTCATCTAAAAAATACCATCATAGAAATATCTAGAATAATGCTTACCAAACGTCTGGGTACCATGGCCTCGCCACATTGACTCATAAAATTAACCATCATACTATCGTTCTGACACATGTGCCTTCTGCAGGAAGCGCCTGTGCAGGACAGAGATGAGCCTGGGTGGAGAGAAGGGGCTGTGACACCGAAATCTAACGTGCTCCAAGGCAGCATCAGTGGAAGTAAAGGGGCGCATTTCCTTCCAGGGCAACTAGACCAGAGCTGCTCCAACTTGAGCATGTATGTGAACCACCCGGCCTCCTGATCCAGGACATCTGGATGTGGGCCTGAGAGTCAGCAGTTCTCACAAGGCCCCGGTGGCTGCCTGAGCCACTGGTCTCTGGGCCGTACTTTGAGCAGCAGGGTGGAGGGGCTCAGAGCCTAGATTCCTAGATCTTCTCCCAGCCCTCCTCCTCATTTGCTGTGTACCTTTGAGCAAGGGAGGTACTTAACCATCCTGAATCTCAGTGTCCTCATTGACAAAGTGGGAGGTAACAATAATATCAATTTCAAAAGGTCATTGTGACATTAAAAGAGAAAATGAACATGAAGTATGTGGACAGCGTTTGAGCTCAATAAAAGCTCTTAGCTACAATCATTCTTACGGGCACCTGAATTTTAAAGATTACATGTTGGGTAGGATATAAATAAGTCTTGTATTTGGTGATCAGCATGGAGAAAGGACCTACACACACAGCCACAGGAAGAAACGTTGATAAAATTGAAACTATTCACCCTAGAGAGGAACAGATGTAGGAAGGAGGTGGGAGGGAAGTGGAGGCCCAAAAGAGATGATGAAAGGCTTCCTGAACATACTTGAAATGGAGTGTTCATGGAAATAAAATGAAAATTATCCGGCAAGCCTCCATAAAATTCACAAAGACCAAGATACGGAGCTTCCTGGGAGGTCAAAGTGAGATCCATAAAGCTTGGGAGTATCCAAGGCTTTATGAAGGAGGTTGTGTGGACTGAGTTGCCCATCTAGCTCCAGAGGCACAGCGACAGCCTGTGCCACCACCCCTTCACCAGAAAGCCAAGGGGCTGGTGCCACAGATTCGTGTGACAACTGCCCACACCCTCCAAGCACTTCCAGAACTCCAGAGTGGCTCAGTCGGTGGCTCTCCCTGAGCACGGCCTCCTTCCTGCTAGCAGAGTCCCAGCACTCCAGCCCCGCTGTCCAAGGGCCACTCCTGGGAGACACTTGGCACATTCTAAGCTTAGTCATGATGCATCAGACAATTCATTCAGATTTCTTCAATTCCATTACCAGGCCCTGTGGGAGCCAAATGGGAAAAAGAATCAATGCATGTGCTGGCCAGGGAAGCAGCAGTGTCTAAGCAGCCTGCCCCCCATGAAAACACTGCCCTGTCCTTTCCCCAGACCACCAGACCAGGACTACCATGTTGCCGGGATGGTCAAACAGCCACACTGTCCCATCTGACAACCACTGCTGCACAGGCCATCTGCTCCATGGCCTTGGGATTGCCATTAGGCTTCCTTCCCAAGCCCCAGCAGTAGCAGTGACCCCAGGAGCAACCTCACTCTGCTCCCCTCTCTGGGGCCTCCACACTGCTGTGCATTGCCCACGTACTTGTGAGGTCACCGAACCTCTTGGAACCTCAGTTTCTTCATCTGAAAAATGAGGACAAGAATAAGAATAATACCTACCTCACAGGGAGGTCATGAGGTTAAAAGAGATCAAGATACATAAAATATGTAACCTGAGTCTTGGCATCGGGTACTGCATCAATGTGGGCATCACACCCCATGAGATACCTGACCCTGCCACTGAGGACTCTGTAAACAAGGGTTCATCAAACTGAATCAACCTGGAGAACACTCATGGCTCCCAGGTCAGAACTAAAGCAGATACCTGGTGGAGGCAGTGGCCTTCCTCACCACCTCACCCTTGACAGCAGGAGCCAAGGCCAGGGAGCTGGAGCCTCACCCTCTAAGCCTTACCCAGGGAGACAGGAGCTCTGCAGGCTTGTAGAAGCCCACAGCTTATGCTAAGGAAGCTGCTTCAAATCACAGCTCCTTCCAGGCACCTCCCTAGCAGGCCTTTCTCCCAGCTCTGTCAGGCTCAAACAGCTTTAGCCTGAACGTTCTGGCCTCTGCCTGACCCTCCTCTGCCCTTGATTAAAAGGCCACCCTGCCCGCCGTCTGACCTATGGATGGGGACAGACCCGCAGGTGGCTGTGGCCTTGGACCCCCTAATCCCCAGCCAGCCTGGGATCCTGCCACTAGGCTTATTCTGGACAACTCAGTTCACAGTTGGACATCTGTCGTGTGCCAGGCTGAGTGCCAGGAACAGGGGAGAACCAGTGGTCGGTGTGCAGAGGGAGGGAGGGAGATGGCAGTGCCAATACCAGTTGCCTGGGGCAGCCGGGCAGGGCCACGGGGACCTCTCACAGATTCTGTAACAACGCGGACTCGTAGGGATCCTGGAAATGCTTCCGTGGGGATACAGGGCATGTTCCTCAGAGAGGAGCTTACATACCTGTGGAGAAGAAGTGCCCCCAGCAGATGATGGAGACAGGTGAACACAGGTCAATCCCGGTGGGGCGGCAGTGGTGAGCACCCGAAGCAGGGAGACATTTGTGGAGGGTCCTTCAGTGCATGGAAGCTGAAACTGGCAGCCCAGGGATGCTCAGTGAAACATTGACTAGGAAAGGAAGACACATGCCTGCAGGTGCTGCTGCATCCTGGAAGCTTCCATGGAGTAGAGGGCGATCTTAGAGCTCACCACCCCTACCAAAGCCCACCCCGTGGGGAAGGGCATGTGTCATCTCAACCTCCTCCCTCCTTCAGAACTGGAGATCCCAAGCTGTTCAGGCACCCCACCTGCTCTTCTCTGCACAGCCTGCAGAGACAGGGTTCCTTTCAGGAAGCCTGGGCCATCATACCCACAGCTGGTTGCTGCACCCTGGGGATGGGCATCCCAGGGCAGAGCTGAGAGAGCCTCAGGGTGGGTGGAGCTGGAGCTCCAGAGCCTGAGGTGGGAGCCTGCCTGGCCCTGGACTCCTTGCTATGAGCAATGATAAATTTCCTCACTGACCATGCACCTTGACTCAGAATTTTGTTACTCGTACATTCTGAGAGATATAGGGACCCCATCTCCTCTTCTCTCCCTGCATCGTGCTTGAGAAACATCCAGAGCCTATCCAAACTAGGGTTGCCAAACAAAACCAGGGTTAGAAATGAAAATGCAGGGTGCCCAGTTAGATTCAAATTTCAGGTAAAGAGTAAGCAATTTTTCTAATATATTAATGTTTCATGTGATACTTGAGGCATACTTACACTAAAACATTACCCACTGTTTATCTTAAATTCTATTTTAAGCAGGCACCCTGTATTTTATCTAGCAACCTTACGCCAAACCCCTCATTTCTCTTGCCTGACAGCAGACTAGCCTCCAAAACGGTTTGTCACACAAAGAGGCTTCTGAGATGGCACCCAGTCACCACCTGAGGTGGGCTGGGAGGGGTCAGACAGCCCCACTGATCACTTGGCACCTCCTCACTGCTGTGGGTAAGGGCTGGAGGGAGCCCAGTAAGTGGCCTCCTGCTAGGTCCTAGCAATTTTGAACAGAGAGAAGTGGAGAAGAGGAGAGACCGAAATATCACCTTAACAGCTGAGAAAGCTGACTTGGGGGAATAGGGCTGAGAGCTGCAAGCACCTGGGCTTTCTGATATTGAACCCCAGGACTGGACAAATCCCCTATTCAGTTCCTGCAGCCCTGGACCCTCCCAGTCCTGCTCCAGGGCAGCTCGGGCAGGGGAGGGAGGCTGCCATTCTCTGGCTAACTCTGTGACCAAGAACAGTAGTGACCCAGGCACCCTGCAGGCAGGAGAAGAAGCTGAGGGTTCATGAGACCTGTTTGTTCTCCCGAATTCACCTATCAGCTAAATCATTCATCTACCTATCCCCTTGTGAGAAGAGAGGTCGGGAATATTGGCTAATGATGGGACTCCACATGGAGGCATCCGCCGCTGTCATCGGCAGCACCGAGGGAGCCCCGTCGGTCCCCACTGGTGGCAGGCCATTCACAAGAGCACCCTTTGATGAGCCAGCCTAGACCATCTGGACATGCAGTCACCAGTCAAAATAAATCCTGGCCAACAAAGACAGCTCACTTCCCAACCTGTGCATGCTCAGTTTCCTCATCTGAGGTGGAAGAAGAGCACTCACCTGGGTTCGTTCGTGGGTCTGCCTGCAGCACGCCTGCCTGGGAAGCAGAGAAGGCTCACGAGGGCTGCGGCCATGACCATCCCTGGCTCTGACATGGAAGGGAAATGGGGGTGACAAAGCAAGGATGAGGCCCTTGAAGGGGAGGGAAGAGAGGAAGAAAGGGGGAGTTTAGCTGCGCTAGTTTAAGATCTCTACTCGGAGGGCTGCTGGGGGTTGTGTAGTTTCAAGGAGGAAGAGAGATAAACAGATGAAGATACCAGGCTGGCCTCCCAAGTGAGGCTGGCGTGGAAACAATCAAAGGGGGTAAGTGCCCTGTCCATCCCCATCACACCCATAGAACCAGACGCTTTCAGGGTGCTGACAAGCTCGGGGTGCAGGAGCTGAGGCCACTTCCTGAAGAAGTGCAGAGACTGGCACTGTTAGCCAGAACCTGGAACCCCTGCCAGGCAGGCTGTGACTCAGAAGGTGGCTCCAGGCCCAGCCGGAGCAGGGATGCTCGCAGGGCCCCAAACAGAAACCACAGTAGCCCAATGGGCAGAGACAAGGAGGGAGGATAAAGGGCAGCGGCTGTCAGGCGGATACCCCGAGTCCATACTAGATTTCAGGCTCACTAACGCTTACCCTCCATTATCCATTCAATGAAAGCTGATTGTCTCATCTGCTGTGGGCTCTGGGCTGACCTCTGGGGATAGAAGAGTGAAGGTGGCAGCCCGGCCCCCGCATCTGTGGGTCAGCTTCCTTACACGTGAAGCAAGCGCGCATGGTGGAAAGTGCCGTGAAGGAAGCATAAGCTCTGAGATAAAGAAGCATGGGGAGTGTGGCTTTTCTAGTGGTCAGGGGCCTCACCAAGAGGTGACACGTGCACTAGGCCCTAACGGCGATGAAACCTCCAGCACTGAGAAGAACTTTTCAGGCAGAAGACCAGCAAGTGTGAAGGCCCGAGGTGGAAAAGGGCAGGAGGATGCAGGCAGCACGGCCGGGGCCCAGCCCTGCAGTGGGGCCGGGGTCAGGGGCACGGTCAGGATGATGGCTCGTAAAGCGTCCACTCATCCGAGGGGAGTCAGTCATCACAGGGCAGGAAAGCATGGTAGGACAAAATGTCCCTGAGCACCAACTCATGAGCCTGAGGTCCTCAGAGGAGGACAGGCCCCCTGAGAGCAGGAGGTCTCCAGAAGGCTTCTTGTAGAAACCTCACAGAGGGCCCCATTTGGACAGGTGGAGGTGTCCAGCGGACGCAAGCAGTAAAAGACAGCAGCAGCCTCTGGCTGTCTGTGCAGTAGAGAAAAAAGCTGGTTCACCACAGGACAGGGACGGGGTCATGGGAGGAATCTTCCTTGTACCTTCTGAAGAAAAGGGAAAGGACAAGAAAAACCGCCGTGGGTCTTAGCTGCCCACTCATCTCCCTGCCCTCTTTCCCTCTTCCTCACCGAACCCCGGTTGGCCCTGGAACAGCCACCCGCTTTGCATGCATGCACCCACACCCATGTGCTCTGGAGGAAGTGACGCCTCCAGTTCAAGAGGTAGGCCCCACTGGCTCACATCAACCAGCATATTCCATCTCCTGGCCAGAGCCACGGGCCCCGAAGACAGCCTGTGACTGGAGCCCATCTACTCCAAGGGGCCACCAGGCCCTGGCTCAGTCCATGAGTTCAGCATAGGGCTACTGGCAGTCACGGCAGACAAGAACAGAAGGATAGAAAGAACTGCGTCTCCGGTGACATCGAGGCCCTGGACCAACCAATCCTGCAACCCGCACGCCTCTGGACTTTTCCAGTTGCATGAAACAAACGCTACCTTTCATGTGATTAAACCTGTTTGTGTTGCCTGTTCTACTCCCTATGATGACAGCAACAATTTGGGGACATCTGGTATGTACCGGGCACTGAATTAAGCTCTTGATACACACTGTTTCATGCAGGAATCATCCTTCTCACTCTTCAGATGGGAATCCTGAGGTTCAGGACATGCAGTAACCTGCCCCAGGTCACACAGGTGGATGTAGTATGCCTGACTCCAGGGCCCAGATCTGGGCCTGGGCTCCTACCTCCAGTTCCTTCAATCCCTCAGGGACCAGCTTTCAGGGACCCATAACCAAGGGTCTGAAGCTACCCTAAGTCAGAGCCCGTACATCAGACACTGTTGAGGGACTTCAGACTGAGGACTGTGAGAGCTCTCAGCCTTGTGCAGAGAAAATTGGGCAGGGCAGAGTCTAGGCTTGAGCAGCGGAGACCTGGGTTTCAATTCCAGAACCCCACTTAGTGGCCATGTAACCCTGGGCAAGTTACTTGCCTTCTTCAGCCTTAGTTTCCCCATGTGTGAAGTCAGGGTTGAATTAAGTCCCTATCATCTCATCTATTAATTACTTTAAAATACTTAAGCATTAACAATGTGAAGTAAATGTAGACGTGTATACATTTACTTTCATCTTCACCCTAAGGCAATTAGTTAAAAGTTGAGGTTCCCTATCAAGAATCCATGTTCTAGAAGGTGCTATCAAGGACTTCAACTATCTTTATCTAAATTCATACCATAGGGTCTACAGCCTAACCTCATGTAGGTCAGATCCACTTGTTATGGGTAAATAACAGGGGTCAAGAATCATGGCTGGTTAGAAAGACTGTCCAGCATTCTGGCCTTTGCATAAACAGGGTTCAAGCATGCAGAAACCAGAGTTCCCTTTGGTTCTGCGTGTCCCCACCCCTACTTAATGGAGGGGTCTGCCATCTGGTGTTCCTAGAAGGATGGCTGGTTCTGCCACCAAAACACTGTTTCCTTTGCCTGGAGTGTTCTTATGCACGGTGCTTGTCCAAATGCCAAGGACTCTCTGCACTCACAGGCATGGGGTTGACACTTTGATGGACACCTACCTCTCATTCTTCACATGGTAGAATCTGGCCTTAGACTGACTCTCACTGCTACACATCTCCGGGTAGCAAGAGGAAGATGCCATGCTTCAGCCCCACAGGGTTTGTTGGAAGCTATGCATTGAAACCAAAAATCCTGACACTTGTTGAATGGTCATGATGATTTCGATTCCTTCCCAGCTACTCCTTCCAAGTTATTGGGAAGATAAGAGACTCGAAATAGCAGCCAATGTTGTTATTATCATCATTCTTGTTATTATTCAGGCCTCTCTCTTCTTTAATCAAAGAACGTATCTATGCTGAGGAGAGGTGCTGAGAAGCAGAGGGAGGAGGAAAGACCGGGGTTGTGTTTTGAGATTTAGAAGGGCACAATGTGTCCCATCAACACTCCCAGACCCCAGAGGTCACAATGTGTGTTAAATCTCAGGACACATGAGGCTCTCCCACTGGAGACAGGAGGCCACGAAGGCCCTCTACACCTATTCTCATGGTCCTATAGACAAGCTAAGCTACCTGAGCCCTTCTCTCTGCCACCCTCCAATGACAATGACATTGAGATATGGCTTTTTGGTGTGGGGACTCTTTGTCATGGAGACACTTCAGTAATGATTGTGAGAATCACAACATCAGTAATAAGTGTATTGTACATGGTTCCTAGTAAATGAAGTCCATGTTAGCTGGGTTCCTTCTGTGAATGTTCTCATAACAGGATATTGTGTGGAATATTCAATGGGGAAATTGAAGTTTTAAAAAACTAAGAAATTTGACCACTCACAGAGAAAATGACAATTGGGATTTGAATGCAGGCAGTCTGTCATCCCACCATTTACATTCTTAACCACTGGTCCATAAAATAATAACACAATTAGGGATGGAGGGTGAAGTTACAGGAGTAGACAAGCTGAGAAACTGAGAAAGAAGAGCGATGAAAAAGAGCATACTATCTATTCCCAGTAATCAAATCAGAGTGTCACTGGCATATGCCCAGATATCCCAATAGAACAGAATAAATATGTGAGAAATAGACCCCACTATGTGTGGAGCTGAGGATGCAATACATGTGACATCTCAGATCAGTGAGGAAAATATAGTCGAATCAATAAACGGTATGGGACCAACTGGGTGCCCATCTGGAGAAAAATAAAGTGAGATCTATACCCCACACTGTACTTCAGGATAAACTTCAAAGGGATCAAAGGCTTAAAACTAAAAACTATGAAACTATAAAACGCCTGGACAAACGCAGCAGAATTCCTATACAGCCATGGGTAACAGCTCTAGGCAAAACTCAAATTCCAGAACTCATAAAAGACTGATGCATTTGGCTAGTAAATATTAAAACTTCTGCATGGAAAAAAAGAATAATAAGCAGGCCAGGTGCAGTGTCTCATGCCTGTGATCCCAGCACTTTGGGAGACCAAGGCAGGAGCTTTGCTTGAGGCCAGCAGGTCGAGACAAGCCTGGGCAACATACCAAGACCCCATCTCTACAAAAAAAGTTAAAAATTAGCCAAGTATGGTGGCGCACGCTTATGGTACCAGCTACTTGGATGAGGTGGGAGGATTGCTCAAGCCTGAGAGGTTGAGGCTTCAGCAAGCCATGATTGTGCCACTGTACTCCAGCCTGGGTGACAGAGTGAGACCCTGTCTCTCAAAAATAACAATAATAATAATAAGCAAGAAAAATCTAAGGGGATATATTTATAAGCCATATCACAAATTGAGGGCTAATCTCTCAAAAACGTATCAGTTCTCACAAATTGATAAGAAAAGTACAATCACACAAATGGATGTGAGTAGACCAGTTCCTAGAAAAAAAATTTACTATACCACAAACGCACATGACATGGGTTTGCATATATAACAAACCTGCATATGTACCCCTGAATTTAAAGGTTAAAAAAAAAGTATAAATGATCCTTAACTCTATGAAAACATGCTTAACTTTATTCATAACAAAAATGCAAATGAAAACTACACTGAGATAATATCATCTGTCTACCAAAGTTGGCCAAGAGCCAAAAGTTTAAGAACTCACTCTGTTGGAGAGGCTGTGGAGAAACAAGCTCCCTCTTACGTTACTGGTGGGAGAACCCCCACAGACAGCAATTGAGTAAAATCTATCAAAATTGCAAGGCTTATACCCTTTACCCCAGTAATCCCACTTCTGAGAACTTATCCCACAGATAGACTTGCAAACATGTGAAGTGACATAAGGTTATAATTTATTATAGCCGAAGAAGATGCAGCATAATTTATTATGGCAGAAGAATATGGGAAACAAACAAATGTTCATCAACAGGGACTGGTCATAAATTACCACGTTATGTTACATCCACCCAACGGAGTACAGTGCAGCTGTCCAGAAAATAAAAGTAAGAATGAGGAAGCTCGCTAAGCGCTGACATGGAAAGAGCTCCAAGACATACATTGTTTAGGGGCAGACTAGTGCGTACATTATGCTGCTTTTGGTGTAAAAAACTGGGAGGCAGAAAGGATTTTGTTTAATTTACTTACATTTTCAATGAAAACTAAAACTTACAAAACAAAAAATAAAAATCATTGCCAGTTAAGGGTAGGGGGCAGTAATTGCACAGAAGTAAAACTGGGAGAGAGATTTTTTACTTTAAACCTTTTTCTCTAACCACATGAATATATTACCTGTTCTAAAAAATAAATTTAAAATTTTTAATATTATGTTTTCAACTTTTTTCATGGTTTACCAAATACCATGTGAAAACAAGCATCCTTCCCCACTCCCTCAGCCTCCTCCTATCCCAAATCCTGGACTGAGGTACCATTTAAGTTAAAAAAAAAAAAAATGAAGGTCAAAAATAACTGATCAGTGTGTTATTTGGAAATTACAAGGAGGGCCAGGTGCAGTGGCTCAT